GATCACAGTAAGAAACATCTGAAAGTATAAATCTGAGTACTTGGGGAGATACGGTAAGGAAAGTGGAAACCTACAGAAGAAAAGGAGAGAAACTTCCCTTGATGAAGTCAATGAAGCCACAGCAAATGGTTCAAACAAATTAGGGCAGTTAACACCCAAATCTCCAGCCTGACATTTCAAGAAGTTGCTAAAAAATTTTCATAGGAATTCAGGTGGCAGATTTCCAAGCATCAGGTAGTTGGCTTGAGAAATTTCAACTGTGACATAACATCTCACAGAATGTCTTATGTGGTGAATCCAATGAAGCTCCAGTAAAAGTTATGGAAGAGTTCATCAAAAAGTTCCCAGACTTCACCAGAGGTTTCAAACATAATGACATTTTTAACACTGACCAGTGTGGACTCTTTTTCAAAGAGATACCTCATCATGAAGAATGTCAGAGTAGAAAACTTTCCAAAGAACATTTCACAGTTCTGTTTTGTGCTAGCTCAACCAGAGAGAAACTAAAGCCCTTGGCAAAGCCATGTGCATTCAAAATCCTGAAGCCCAAAGACCTCTCTATCACCTGGTGATCAAACAAATGTGCATGGATGACTGTGCATGGAAGGCAATGGATGCCTTCCTTTTTGAGGAATGGCTATGGAATATTAACTGAAAATGAAGAAGAAATGGTCCATTCCACTGATAGTAGACAATGGTCCTGGCCACCCATAAGTGAATCATCTCTCAAATGTGACACTGAAATTTATGCTTCCAAACATGACCTCAAAAATCCAACCTCTTGACAAAGCCATCATCAAAACATTTAAAATGCACTACTGAGCTCAGCTCCTGCAGTGAATCATTCCTAAAACATAAACCTGTGGAAGTAACTTCATCCACTCCATCAGTTAATGCTTTGTATGCTGTCCTCAAGATTAGTTCTGCTTGGAATGAAGTTCAGTCAGAAATGTTACAAAAGTGTTTCAAGAAAATTGGATTTATCACAATGCAAGAGCAAGATGTTTTGGCCCCTCAGATAGTTTATCTTCCATGGCAGAATTCAAAGGACCAAATTTTGAAGGTTTTTTTGTGATGGATAATGAGGTGGCAATCTGTAATAAACCTGACCAAGAAGCAATTTTCCATGTGATTTTGATGAAGTACAGAACATTATAAAAGTGAATGGAGCAGCTGATGAAGTGGAAGGAGCAAGTGAGAATGACACAGAAATTTCAGAGACTCCAAAAGAAGAGGATATCAAGCATCTGATAGTGCAGTCAAAGTCATTTGCTGTGTAAAAATGCCCAGGTATGCTGAGTGGTGTAGCCAGAGTCGAGAGCACTTATGTTTGTAATAAGAATAATAACACACCAAGATTGACTCTTTTTTCAGAAAGAATTATTAAACCATGAAAAAAATCATTGATTTTGTAGCCTGGTATTGTGGCGGGTGCCTGTAGTCCCAGCTACTAAGGAGGCTGAGACAAGAGAATCGCCTAAGCCCAGGAGCTGGAGGTTGCTGTGAGCTGTGATGCCATAGCACTCTACCAAGGATAATAAAGTGAGACTCTGTCTCCAAAAAAAATCATTGATTTTGTATGATACTGTATATATGATTTTATTGTGTTTTTGATTATGTACACATATGATTTCTAATGGTATTCTGTAATAGAAGCTATATAAGAAAGTAAAGTACATTTATGTATCAATACATTAGGCCTAGTTCCTCATGTTGACCTTTTCCCTATGTTGACTAGTTTGTTAACAGTTCCTTGGGTGGTCAATTTACAGAAGTTCTACTGTATTTTTAGTTTCTAGGGCCTGCCTTGGGAAGAAAAAGAAGCAGGTCAAAGAGGGAGAGAAAGGAAGGGAAAGATCAAAGAGAAAGGGAGAGATTCTGTTTTCCGAAGCCTAAAGTGTTCAAAGCACCCCTCAAAGTCTAAACATCTTATAACTTTCAGACTCAGAATTGGTTCCAAAGCTACTTCAAGAATTAAAGACAAAAGCCAAAATACTTTAATTAAATATGTGTTTATTATTCTAGTGTCTTTGGGAATAAAAAGAGTATGGAAGTTATGCACCAGAAACCATGGATGAAAACGTGTGTGTGTTTACACACATGTGCATATACTGGGTATCCATAAAGTTCATGTGCAGTTTAAAATAGTGTGCAATTTAAAGTTGCACACATATTTTATGGACAACCTGTGTATAAACGTACATACATATATCTCATAATATCACAGTTAAGTTTAAAGTAAAGAGAGAAGTTTTATCCACTCTTCATTAGGGACAGAGTAAGACTGTGGCCCAAGAAGGTGTCCAGATCAATAGAGCTTTGGCACTTAGAAGATTCTAGCACATTAGGTCAGCAGAGCAGAAGAGTCCAGTAAAAGAGACAGTGGTATCCAGTAAACATGGAAGTACCTAGAGAAGGAAGGAAGCATGGAAGTGGAGGACTGGATTGGAGGCACATAACAACTAACTGGACTTGTTCCTGAACACATTTTAGATAATCTATAGACACTTACACTCATGTCTGATGGTGTCCATAGATAAAAATCATTAAAGATTTAAACACAATGACAGCAGAGAATTAAACAAGGAGTAGGACTCTTCTGACCACAGGGCCCTGTACTATACAAGAGGTCACATACCCAATTAAGCCTGATTTGCTATGAGTGTTGGATGATAGCAACTCACATCTTACCTCTTCTCTACAGAATTGTCCTCTGCCAAATGGGAGCCACCTTGCTCCAGAGACTGTGATCTGCTCCAACTGTAGACTTGTATCTATTACTGAATAATGCTGGAATACAAAAAGCCAGTGCCTCACTGTCAATGTGGGACTGGTGTATATGCTTCAGAGTTTTCACGTGGGATTAACCAAACTCCAGTTAAACCCCATTCTCCACCACAATCACCTGGCACCCCTCCAGACTTGTGCTGCTCTTTTTACTCCCTTTAACCTGAGAGCATTATTTCAAGAAATTACTTCCACTGGCACTTCTGTTTGGACTGCTTCTAAGAAAGCTTCCCTAAAATAGAAATATCCCAGCTAAAATAATAAAAAGAGGAAAACAGAGAGTATTTTTTTCCTCTTGGAGTAATCTGAATTGAAATTGAACTTGAATCCAATCAAGCTTTTCTGAAATTAATTATCATTTTACAGGAAACACAGAGTAGAGAGGCACGTGTCAATGATGACATTACCAAGATCCAGACTGGAAATAAAAGACAAACCAACTGTTTCATCAGCAAATTAAAGGGAAAATTAAAAAATGGGAACCTATAGATTAAAAGAAAATTAGGAGGCTTGGCATCTGTAGCTCAGCTGCTAGGGCACCAGCCACATACACCGGAGCTGGTGGGTTCAAATACATCCAGGGCCTGCCAAACAACAATGAGAAATAGAACCAAAAAGCAGCCAGGAGTTGTGGTGGGCACCTGTAGTCCCAGCTACTTTGGAGGCTGAGGCAAGAGAATTGGTTAAGTCCAAGAGTGTGAGGTTGCTG